AGCCACTCCTGACCCACCACAGATGAAAGGCTCCCATTGCTGCGACACAGAAACAGCTCTCATAGAGCTGGCACGCACCTCTGGATCCCTTGGCTGTGAGATATGGCCATTATTAATAACAGATTATAGTTACAAGAGGTCGAATTGGCAGATTTAACTTCTTTTACAGGAGCCATCTAGACCCAGGTGCTAGGTCTAAGTACCGCAGCAAGGTGAGGTACGCTTTGATTGCCCCTGGGTGCTGCAGAAAAGCCAAGTCTGTCCTTCTAGTCGCACAGTGGGAAGGATTGACAGTCCACTGAAGCTTCAAGCAAGTTATCCTGGTTCCTTACTGCGGCATGGAGATGGCATGCAAGCTTTAGCAGAAGTTTTCACTTACTTAATGAATTGGGCAGGACATTCGAACCAATATATGAACAGAACGGATCTGAGAAACAACCCCCAGGTAAAAACCAGGGGCAACTGTGCAATGCAAACATATGTGAAACGTCGTTTGCCTCGATGTCCTTCCCATTCACAGTCCCTAACACAGTCTTTGTTTCACCAATGACTGTGCTAATAACAGACCTAGCCCCTAGGATATCCTAATGTCCTCACTAACCTCTAGAGGTTTGCCTTGGACAAAGCCCCTAAAAGTTCAAGTTTTTAACCTTATCCAAAGTTTCCTGGCAAGGAAAGCCCACTAGAAGCCCCCTGGGTTCAGCTCTAAGAGAAGAGTCATGGAAACGAGACCTGGTGAGGTGACAGTAGTCAGAGCTTTCATTCCAGGTATAACCCAGCATCTACAGCAACGGCTCTTTCCAGGTGCATGAAATGCCTTTTCACTGAATAGCGACTTTGAGCTCTTTACATTCTCTTCTCTGGCCATAACCACATTTAAAAGGCATTGCTAAAGATCAAAGGTTCATCCTCCTCCACAAAGCCTGACTTAGAAGAAAACGCTAAATACTTGAGCCCTCATGCTATGCATGGAAAGACAACCTGCACCTGCAGAGGGGTGACTTTTTCCCGTCTTAGTCCTGTGACAAAATCACTCCTGAAATACTTTTGTAAAGACAATGTTACTGAACACAGACCCACCATAAGAGCCCAGGACTACAATGTGTAGCAACAAAATCTGAGGTGCCAGCAGCAACCAGCCTTACACATGGCTTGAGGTTAGCGCTGAGGATCTATTCCTTGAAGAGAAATGACTTTGGCACTGCAGTTTTACAAGTCAAGACTTCTGCTGCCAACCTTTCATACAGGCAGAAAAGAGATAACATCAGACTTACGAGAAAATGAGTCAAATATAAAATGTAAAAAGGAGCAGAGTCTGTGTTGATCTCGGGGCAGTGAATTTGGAGGGATTGGGCACTGAATTAGGAGGCAGGAAGGCAGAGTGTTATTCTCAGCCCTGCCCTTGATCTTTAGCATAACCTTTAGCAAAGCATTCTTCTGACTGTGCCCTTTTTTCATCGAATCCCAGACTGGTTTGGGTTGAAGGAA